ACATCACATGTGTCTCACCAATACACAGGGAACTCCTCACACACACACACACACACACACACACACACACACACACACACACACACACACACACACACACACTTCCTTTATATATGACTTTCTACATTTATGCCATCCCCTTTTCTATGTAAGTTTCTCTACATATATATAGCTATAACCTTCCCTTGTACAGTATATGTGCCTACATATACCTTCCCTTATGTGACTCACTACTTATACACCTTCCTTATATATGTGACATGTGACTTTTATATATACACCTTCCTCTATATATATATATATGACTCGCTACATATATATCACAGATGTATCTCCTGTCATTTGATTGTATATCCTGGTGTTAAGTAGAGTTACGGGTCAAGACAGTGTTGGTGTTAGTAAACATTGTTCTCGTCATCAGGAGTCTCTTTCTGGACTGTTCCGTGTTAGGTGTCTGTCTGCGACGTGGTGGTGTGTGCTTCTCTTGTCTCTGTCTCTGTTGCCTGTCTCTGTCTCTGTTGCCTGTCTGTGTTGCCTGTCTCATGTCTCTGTGCTGTATCTCTGTTGCCTGTCTGTTTGCCTGTCTGTGTGCCTGTCTGTCTCTGTTGCCTGTCTCTGTCTCTGTTGCCTGTCTCTGTCCTTGTCTCTGTTGCCTGTCTGTCTCTGTTGCCTGTCTCTGTTGCCTGTCTCTGTCTCTGTTGCCTGTCTCCTGTTGTGCCTGTCTCTGTCTCTGTGCCTGTCTCTGTTCCCTGTCTCTGTCTCTGTTGCCTGTCTCTGTTGCCCTGTCTCTGTTCCCCTGTCTGTCTGTTGCCTGTCTCTGCTCCCTGTCTCTTGTCTCTGTTGCCTGTCTCTGCTCTGTTGCCTGTCTCTGTTTCTGCTCTCTCTCTCTGTTGCCTGTCTCTGTTGCCTGTCTCTGTTCCCCTGTCTCTGTCTCTGTTGCCTGTCTCATTCCCTGTCTCTCTGTTGCCTGTCTCCTGTCTCTGTCTCTGTTGCCTGTCTCTGTTTCCCTGTCTCTGTCTCTGTGCCTGTCTCTATTTGCTGTCTCTGTTGCCTGTCTGTTCCCTGTCTCTCTGTCTCTCCTGTCTCTGTTCCTGTCTCTGCTCCTGTTGCCTGTCTCTTTTTCCCTGTCTCATCTCTGTTGCCTGTCTCTGTCTCTGTTGCCTGTCTCTGTTGCCTGTCTCTGTCTCTGTTGCCTGTCTCTGTTCCCTATCTCTGTCTCTGTTGCCTGTCTCTGCTCTGTTGCCTGTCTCTGTCTCTATTTGCCTGTCTCTGTTGCTGTCTCTGTCTCTGTTGCCTGTCTCTGTCTCTGTTGCCTGTCTCTCTCTGTCTCTGTTGCCTGTCCTCTGTTGCCTGTCTCTGTCTGTGCCTGTCTCTGTTGCCTGTCTCTCTGTTGCCTGTCTCCTATTTCCACTCTCTGTCTCTGCTGCCTGTCTCTGTTCCCTGTCTCTGTCTCTGTTGCCTGTCTCTTCTCTGTTGCCTGTCTCTGTCTCTGTTGCCTGTCTCTGTTGCCTGTCTCTCTCTGTTGCCTGTCTCTGTTGCCTGCCTCTCTCTGTTGCCTGTCTCTATTTGCCTGTCTCTATCTCTATTTGCCTGTCTCTCTCTGTTGCCTGTCTCTGTTGCCTGTCTCTGTCTCTGTTGCCTGTCTCTCCTGTCTCTGTCTCTGTTGCCTGTCTATTTCTCTGTCTCTGTTGCCTGTCTCTGTACCTGTCTCTGTCTCTATTGCCTGTCTCTGTCTCTGTTGCCTGTCTCCTGCTGCCTGTCTCTCCTGTTGCCTGTCTCTGTTGCCTGTCTCTGCACCTGTCTCCCTTTCCCTGTCTCTCTCTCTGTTGCCTGTCTCTTGTCCTGTCTCTGTTGCTGCCTGTCTCTGTTGCCTGTCTCTATTTCCCTATCTCTTCTCATTTCCCTGTCTCCTCTCTTGCTGCCTGTCTCTGTCCTGTCTCTGTTGCCTGTCTCCTGTTGCCCTGTCTCTGTCTCTGTTGCCTGTCTCTGTTCTGTTACCTATGCTCTGTTCCTATCTCTATCTCTGTTGCCTGTCTCCTTTGCCTGTCTCTGTCTCTCTGCCCTGTCTCTTTTCCCCTGTCTCCTGTCTCTGTTGCCCTGTCTCTGTTGTCTCTCTATTTGCCTGTCTCCTGTTGTCCTGTCTCTCTCTCATTTACCTGTCTCTTGTCCTGTTGCCCTATCTTTTCCCTGTCCTCTTCCTCTTTGCCTGTCTCTGTTGCCTGTCTCTGTTGCCTGTCTCTATTTGCCTGTCTCTGTCTCTGTTGCCTGCCCTATCTCCTGTTCTCTGTGCCTGTCTCTGTTGCCTGTCTCCTTTTGCCTGTCTCTGTCTCTATTTGCCTGTCTCTGTCTCTGTTGCCTGTCTCTGTCTCTCTTTGCCTGTCTCCTTGCCTGTCTCTTTTTCTCTGTCCCTGTCTCTGTCTCCTGTTGCCTGTCTCTGTTGCCTGTCTGCTTTCCTCTCTGTTTTTCTCTGTTGCCTGTCTCCCTGTCTCTGTTGCCTTGCCTGTCTCCTTTTGCCTGTCTCTGCTGCCTGTCTCTGTTGCCTGTCTCTTTGCCCTGTCTCTGTTGCCTGTCTCTGCTGTTGCCCTGTCTCTGTTGCCTGTCTCTGTTGCCTGTCTCTCTGTTGCCTGTCCTCCTGTCTCTGTTGCCTGTCTCTGCTGCCTGTCTCTGTTGCCTGTCTCTGTTCCCTGTCTCTGTCTCTGTTGCTGTCTCTGTTCCCTGTCTCTGTCTCTGTTGCCTGTCTCTGTTGCCTGTCTCTGTGCCTGTATCTCTGTTTCCTGTCTCTGTCTCTGTTGCCTGTCTCCTGTTGCCTGTCTCTGTTGCCTGTCTCTGTCTCCTGTTGCCCTGTCTCTGTTGCCTGTCTCTGTTGCCTGTCTCTGTTTCCCTGTCCTGCTGTGTCTCCTTTGCCTGTCTCTGTTTGCTGCCTGTCTCTGTTGCCTGCTCTCTGTTCTGTGTCTCCTGTTGCCTGTCTCTGTTGCCTGTCTCTGTTTTCCTGTCTCTGTCTCTATTTGCCTGTCTGCCTGTCTCTGTTGCCTGTCTCTGTTGCCTGTCTCTGTCTCTGTTGCCTGTCTCCTGTTGCCTGTCTCTGTGCCTGTCTCTGTTGCCTGTCTCCTGTCTCTATTTCCTGTCTCTGTTGCCTGTCTCTGTTGCCTGTCTCTGTTTACTTGTCTCTATTTCCCCTGTCTCTCTGTCTCTGTTGCCTGTCTCTTTTTCTGTCTCTGTTGCCCTTCTCTGTTTCCTGTTCCTGTCTCTGTTGCCTGTATCTCTGCTGCCTGTCTCTGTTGCCTGTCTCTGTTTCCCTGTCTCTGTCTCTGTTGCCTGTCTCTATTTGCCTGTCTCTGTTGCCTGTGCTCTCCTGTTGCCTGTCTCTGTTGCCCCTCTCTATTTTTCCTGTCTCTGTCTCTGTTGCCTGTCTCCTGTTGCCTGTCTCTGTTTGCCTGTCTCTGTTGCCTGTCTCTGTTGCCTGTCTCTTTTCCCTGTCTCCTGTGTCTCTGTTTTGTCTCTGTTGCCTGTCTCTGTTGCCTGTCTCTGTTCCCTGTCTGTCTCTGTTGCCTGTCTCTCCTGTCTGTCTCTATTTCCCCTGTCTCTCTCCTGTTGCCCTGTCTCTGTGCCTGTCTCCTTCCTGTCTCTGTTCCCTGTCTCTGTCCTGTTGCCTGTCTCTGTGCCTGTCTCTGTTGCCCTGTCTCTGTTGCCTGTCTCTATTTCCCTGTCTCTCTCTGTTCTCTCTGTTGCCTGTCTCTGTTGCCTGTCTCTGTTGCCTCTCTGTTCCCTGTCTCTGTCTCTGTTGCCTGTCTCCTGTTGCCTGTCTCTGTTGCCTGTCTCTGTTGCCTGTCTCCTGTTGCCTGCCTCCTGCTGCCTGTCTCCTGCTGCCTGCCTCCTCCTGCCTGCCCTCCTGCTGCCTGTCTCCTGCTGCCTGCCTCCTGCTGCCTGCCTCCTGCTGCCCTGTTGCTTGCCTCCTGTTGCCTGTCTCCTGCTGCCCTGTCTCCTGCTGCCTGCCCTCCTGCTGCCTGCCTCCTGCTGCCAGCTGTTGCCTGTTGCCTGCCTCTTTGCCTGTCCTGTCCCACTGTTTGCCTGTCTCTTGCCTCCTGTTGCTCTGTCTCCTGTTGCCCTGTCTCATTTTTCTCCTGTTGCCTCATCTCCTGTCTCCTGTTGCCTGTCTCCTGTTGCCCTGCCTCCTGTTGCCTGCCTCCTGCTGCCTGTCTCCCTGTTGCCTGCCTCCTGTTGCCTCTCCTGTTGCCTGTCTCCTGTGCCTGCCTCCTGTTGCCTCCTGTGCCCTGTCTCCTGTTGCCCCTGCCTCCTGTTGCCTGCCTCCTGCTGCCTGTCTCCTGCTGCCTGCCTCCTGTTGCCTGCCTCCTGTGCCTGTCCTGTTGCCTGCCTCTGTTGCCTGCCTCCTGATGCTCCTGTTGCCTGCCTCCTGTTGCCTGTCTCCTGTTTCCCCTGTCTCCTGTTGCCTCCTGTTGCCTCCCCCTCTCCTGCCTCCTGTTGCCTGATGCCTGTCTCCTGCTGCCTGCCTCCTGTTGCCTCCTGTTGCCTGCTCCTGTTTGTCTCTGTTGCCTGCCTCCTGATGCCTGTCTCCTGTTGCCTCCTGTCCGCCCTTGCTCCTCGTTGCCTGTCTTGTTGCCTGTCTCCTGCTGCCTGTCTCCTGTTGCCTGCCTCCTGTCGCCTGTCTCATGCTGACCGTCTTCTTCTGCCTGTCTCTTGTCGCCCTGTCCCATGCTGCCCCCTGTCTCCTGTTGCCTGTCTCCTGTTGCCTGTCTCCTGCTTGTCTCCTGCTGCCTGTGTCTCCTGTGCTGTCTCCTGCTGCCTGTCTCCTGTTGCCTGCCTCCCCTGTCGCCTGCCTCCTGTTTGTCTCCTGCTGCCTGTCTCTGCTGCCTGTCTCTGCCTGTCTCCTGCTCCTGTCTCTTGCCTGTCTCCTGTTGCCCCTGTCTCTGTTGCCTGTCTCCTGCCCCTCCTGTGCTCTGTTGCCTGTTGCCTGTCCTGTTGCCTGTCTCCTGTTGCCTGTCTCATTGCCTGTCTCTGCCCCTGTCTCTCTCCCCTGTTGCCTGTCTCCTGTTTGCTCTCCTTGCTCTCCTGCCTGTCTCCCTTCCTTTCTCCTGCTCCTGTGTCACTTTGCTTGCTCTCCTGTTGCCCTGTCTCCTGTTGCCTGTCTCCTGTTGCCTGCCTCCTGTTGCCTGTCTCCTGTTGCCTGTCTCCTGTTGCCTGCCTCCTGTTGCCTGTCTCCTGTTGCCCTGCCTCCTGTTGCCTGTCTCCTGTTGCCTGTCTCCTGTTGCCCTGTCTCTGCTGCCTGTCTCTGTTGCCTGCCTCTGTGCCTGTCTCTGTTGCTTCCTGTGCCTGTCTCCTGTGTACCTGTCTCCTGTTGCCTGTCTCCTGCTGCCTGTTGCCTCCCAGCCTGTCTCCTTGCTGCCTGTCTCATGCTGCCTTGCCTCCCTGTCGCCTGTTTCATGTGTCTCCTGCTGCCTGTCTCCTGTTGCCTCCTGTTGCCTGTCTCCCCTTGCCTGTCCTGTTGCCTGTCTCCTGCCCGTCTCCTGCTGCCTGTCTCCTGTTGCCCTGTCTCCTGCTGCCTGTCTCCTGTTGCCTGCCTCCTGTTGCCCCTGCCTCCTGTCGCCTGTCTCATGCTGACCGTCTCCTGCTGCCTGTCTCTTGTTGCCTGTCTCCTTTGACCGTCTCCTGCTGCCTGTCTCTGTTGCCTGTCTCATGCCCACTCTCTGTCCTGTCTCCTGTTGCCTGTCTCCCTGCCTGTCTCCCATCTCCCTGTTGCCTGCCTCCTGCCTGTCATGCCATCTCCTGCTGCCTGTCTCTTGTTGCCTGTCTCATGCTGACCGTCTCTGCTGCCTGTCTCTTGTTGCCTGTCTCATGCTACGTCTCCTGTTGCCTGTCTCCTGTTGCCTCTCTCCTGTGCCTGTCTCATGCTGTCTCCTGCCTGTCTCTTGTTGCCTCTGCTGTGTCTCCTGTTGCCTGTCTCCTGTTGCCTGTCTCTCCTTTGACCGTCTCCTGCCTGTCTCTCTTGTTGCCTGTCTCATGCTGCACGTCTCCTGTTGCCTGTCTCCTGTTTGCCTGTCTCATGCTGCCCGTCTCCTGTTGCCTGTCTCATGCTGACCGTCTCCTGCCTGTCTCTTGTTGCCTGTCTCATGCTGACCATCTCTGTTGCCTGTCTCCTGTTGCCTGTCTCATGCTGCCTGTCTCTTGTCTCCCATCCTCCTGTTCCCTGCCTCCTGTCGCCTGTCTCATGTCCTGTTGTCTCCTGTTGCCTGTCTCCCATGCTGCCTGTCTCTTGTTCTTGCCTGTCATGCTGACCGTCTCCTGTTGCTCTCCTGTTGCCTGTCTCATGCCTCCTGCTGCCTCTTGTTGCCTGTCTCATGCTGCGTCTCCTGTTGCCTGTCTCCTGTTTGTGTCTCTGTTGCCTGTCTCATGCTGACCGTCTCCTGCTGCCTGTCTCTTGTTGCCTGTCTCATGCTGACCGTCTCCTGCTGTCTCCTGTTGCCTGTCTCATGCTGCCTGTCTCTTGTTTGCCTGTCTCATGCTGACCGTCTCCTGTTGCCTGCCTCCTGTCGCCTGTCTCATGCTGACCGTCTCCTGCTGCCTGTCTCTGTCGCTTGTCTCTTGTTGCCTGTCTCATGCCTTGCCTCCTGTCGCCTGTCTCATGCTGCCTGTCTCTTGTCCTTACCTCTTGTTGCCTGTCTCATGCTGCACGTGTTGCCTGTCTCATGCCTGTGCCTGTCTCATGCCCGTCTCCTGTTGCCTGTCCTTGTTGCCTGTCTCATGCTGCCCTGCCTCCTGTGCCTGTGCCACTCCTTGCCTCCTGTTGCCTGTCCTGCTGTTTCCATAACTTACATCATAACCTTGCCTCCTGTTTGTGCGTGTCATAACAGCGCCAGCATCGCTACCGCGCCATCTGTTGAGCGCAGTCATAACGCGCGCTAGCAGCGCCGCGTCGCCAGCACGCCAGCATCGCGTTTGCCGCGATGTCGTAACGCGCCAGCATTCGCAATTTGCGCGCATCATCGCAACGCGGCATCGCCAGTTGCAGCGCATATCGCAAGCGCCAGTTTCGCCAGCAGCGCCAGCATCGCGACCGCGCGCGCATCGCCGTTGCCTCAATGTCATAACCGCGCGCATCATAGCAGCACGCTCATGTTTGCGCAATGTCATAACAGCGCCAATGTCGCGCAGCGCAATCATCGCCAGCAGCATGATGTCGCGCGCACGCGCCGTGTCATGTTTTGCGCATCGCCAGCAGCGCAATGTCGCCGTTGCGCCGCATCGTAACGGCATAGCATCGCCGATTTTGGCGCAGTGTCGCAACGGCATGTCGTGCGCACGCGCCTGTCATGTTGGCGCCGATATCTCGCGCCCAGCGCGATGTCGGCGCGGCGCGATGTCGCCGTTTTGTATCTCGCGGCAGCGCGATGTCGTTGGCATGGCATCGCCAGCGCGCCAGCATCGCGTTTCATCATAACGCGCAATGTCATTTTTGCGCCATATCATGTTGCGCAATGTCATAACGCGCCAATGTCGCCACGCGCAATGTCATAACCTTATGTCGTAACGCGCTGTCTCCTTTTGCGCCTTAACGCGCAATGTCCTGTTTGCCTGCCTGCTTAGCTCTCCTGTTGCCTGTCTCATAACGCATCGGCAGCGCAATGTCGGCACGCGCAATGTCTAACGCGCAATGTCGGCACTCGCGTGTCGCGCGCAATGTCGCTGCCAATCTCCTGTTGCCCGCAATGTCATAACGCGCCAATGTCGCCCGCTGTCTCGCGCATTCGCCTGCGCGCAATGTCCTGTTTGGCGCATAACGCTCCCGTCGCGCGCCGCGCTCACTGCGCGCCTGTCGCCTGCTGCGCCAATGTCATTTTTCGCGCCATGTCGCATTTGGGCGCTCATAACCCAGCGCGATGTCGCCGTTTGGCGCAATGTCGCCTGCCTCCATGTCTCCGCGCAGCATCATGTACGCCTCGCTCCTGTTGCCGCCTAATTGCTTGGCCCGGCTTCCTGCTGCCTGCCTCCTGTTGCCTGCCTCCTGTTGCCGCACTCCTGTTTGCCTGTGTTGCCTGCTGCCTGCTCCTTTTGCCTGCCTCCTGTTGCCTGCCTCCTGTTGCCTGCCTCCTGTTGCCTGCCTCCTGTTGCCTTGCTCCTGCCTCTCCTGTTGCCCTTGTCCTGCTGCCTGTCCTGCTGCCCGCCTCCTGTTGCCTGTCTCCTGTTGCCCGCCTCCTGTTGCCTGCCTCTGCCCCTTGCCTCCTGTTGCCTGTCCTCCTGCTGACTGTCCTTGCTGCCTGTTCTGTGCCTGTCTCCTGCACCTGCTCCTGCCTTGCTGTCTCCTGCTGCCTGTCTCCTGATGCCCCACCTCCTGTTGCCTGTCTCCTGTTGCCCGCCTCCTGTTGCCCTTCCCTCCTGCCTCCTGTTGCCTGTCTCCTGCTGCCCGTCTCCTGCTGCCTGTCTCAGTGCGCCGTGTCCTGCTGCCTGTCTCCTGCTGCGCGTGTCTCCTGGGTGCCGTGTCTGATTCGCGCTGTCTCCTGCTGGGCCGTGTCTCCTTGCTCTTCTCCTGCGCATGTCTCGTGTTGCGCGCTCTTGGTTTGCGCTGTCTCAGCTGGGACGTGTCTCCCTGCTGCCTGTGTCATGATGCGCTGTCTCCGCTTGCGCTGTCTCGCGTGTTGCAGTGCGTCATGCGTGTCTGGCCTCCTGTGTGCGCTGTGTCATGCTGAATGTCTCTGCGCTATGTTTGTTGCGCTGTCGTGCGGGACCGGTCTCATGCGCGTGTCTCGCTGTGCGCTGTCTCCTGCTTGGGTTCTGTCGTCATGTTGCGTGCCTCCTGTTTGGCCGTGCTCCGTGCGCGTCCAGGTCTCTGCTCGCGCATTGTCTCTTTTTGCGCGCAATGGTGGACTGTATGTTGCCTGCTCTGTGCGTGCGCATGTCTACTGCGCGCTGTCTCGGTTGCATGCGCTCCTGTTTGGCATGACATCGCTTTGCGCCTGCTCTTGTTTGCCTGTATCATGCTGCATAGTCATTGCCTGTCTCGTGCTGACCGTCTCCTGCTGCCCTCTCCTGCTGCCTGCCTCCTGTTGCCTGCCTCCTGCTGCCTGCCTCTGTTGCCTCTCCTGTTGCCTGCCCTCCGCCTGCTTGTTGCCTGCCTCTCTTGCGCCTCCTGCTGCCTGCCTCCTCCTGTTGCCTGCCTCCTGCTGCCTCTGCTGCCTGTCTCCCATCTCCTGCTGCCTCCTGTGCCTGCCTCCTCCTGCCTCCTGTTGCCTGCCTCCTGTTGCCCTCCTGTTGCCCGCCTCCTGTTGCCCCGCCTCATGCTGCCCCTGCTGCCTGCCTCCTTGCCTTGCTTTGTAACAGTAAGTGAAACATGGTGACTGCAGCCCATAGTGTGTGTTGAGAGATGATGATGATATGCTGATGGTGGTGATGATGGTGGTGGTGATGGTGATGATGGTGATGACGATGATGGTGGTGATGATGGTGGTGGTGATGGTGGTGATTGTGATGATGATGGTGCTGATGGTGATGATGGTGATGATGATGATGGTGGTGATAATGGTGGTGGTGATATTGTGATTGTGATGATGGTGGTGGTGATGGTGATGATGGTGATGACGATGATGATGATGATGCTGATGGTGGTGGGATGATGGTGGTGGTGATGGTGGTGATTGTGATGACGATGGTGATGATGGTGATGATGATGGTGGTGATGATGGTGGTGGTGATGGTGGTGATTGTGATGACGATGGTGATGATGGTGATGATGGTGCTGATGCTGATTTTGGTGGTGATGATGATGATGGTGATGATGCTGATGGTGGTGGTGATGGTGGTGATTGTGATGACGATGATGATGATGGTGCTGATGGTGATGATGGTGGGGTTGTGATGATGATGATGCTGATGGTGGTGATGATGGTGGTGGTGATGGGTGATGATGGTGATGACGATGATGGTGGTGATGATGGTGGTGGTGATGGTGGTGATGGTGATGATGGTGATGACGATGATGATGATGATGGTGGTGATGATGGTGGTGGTGATGGTGATGATGGTGATGACGATGATGATGATGATGGTGGTGATGATGGTGGTGGTGATGGTGGTGATTGTGATGATGATGATGCTGATGGTGGTGATGATGGTGGTGGTGATGGTGATGGTGATGACGATGATGATGATGATGGTGGTGGTGGTGATGACGATGATGATGATGATGGTGGTGGTGGTGGTGATGGTGATGATGGTGATGGTGGTGATGATGGTGGTGGTGATGGTGGTGATTGTGATGATGATGATGCTGATGGTGGTGATGATGGTGGTGGTGATGGTGGTGATTGTGATGACGATGGTGATGATGGTGATGATGGTGCTGATGGTGGTGATGGTGGTGATGATGATGACGATGGTGCTGATGGTGATGTTGGTGCTGATGCTGATGGTGGTGGTGATGGTGGTGATTGTGATGACGATGATGATGATGATGGTGGTGGTGGTGATGGTGGTGATTGTGATGATGATGATGCTGATGGTGGTGATGATGGTGGTGGTGATGGTGGTGATTGTGATGACGATGGTGATGATGGTGATGATGGTGTGATGGTGGTGATGGTGGTGATGATGATGACGATGGTGATGATGGTGATGATGGTGGTGGTGATGGTGGTGATTGTGATGATGATGATGGTGGTGATGGTGGTGATTGTGATGATGATGGTGATGGTGATGATGGTGATGAAGATGATGATGCTGATGGTGCTGATGGTGGTGATTGTGATGGTGGTGATGATGATGGTGATGATGGTGATGAAGATGATGATGCTGATGGTGCTGATGGTGGTGATTGTGATGATGGTGGTGATGATGGTGGTGATGATGGTGGTGATGGTGATGATGGTGGTGATGGTGGTGATGATGATGATGGTGGTGGTGATTGTGATGATGGTGGTGATGGTGGTGATGGTGGTGATGGTGGTGATGATGGTGAGGATGGTGATGATGGTGATGATGCTGATGGTGATGATTGTGATGGTGGTGGTGATGGTGGTGGTGATGATGGTGGTGATGCTGATGATGGTGGCGATGATGGTGATGATGGTGGTGTTGGTGATGATGGTGGTGATGATGGTTGTGATGGTGATGATGGTGGTGATAGTGACGATGGTGATGCTGGTGGTGCTGGTGATGGTCATGATGGTGGTGATGGTGATAATGGTGGTGATGGTGGTGATGATGGTGGTGATGATGGTGATGGTGATGATGGTGATGGTGATGATGGTGATGGTTGTGATGATGATGATGATGATGATGATAATGGTGGTGATGGTAATGATGATGGTGATGGTGGTGGTGTGTGATGATGGTGATGATGATGGTGGTGATGGTGATGATGGTGATGATGGTGATAGTAATGGTGATGGCGGTGGTGATAATGGTGATGATGGTGGTGATGGTGATGATGGTGGTGATGGTGATGATGGTGATGATGGTGGTGATGGTGATGATGGTGGTGATGGTGATGATGGTGGTGATGATGATGGTCGGGATGGTGATGATGGTGGTGATGATGAATGGTCGTGATGGTGATGGTGGTAGTGATGATGGTGATGATGGTGGTGATGGTGATGATGGTGATGGTGGTGGTCATAATGGTCAGTGATGATGGTGATGATGGTGATAGTGATGATGGTGATGATGGGTGGTGATGATGGTGATGGTGATGGTGATGATGATGGTGATAATGGTGATGATGATGATGGTAGTGGTGGTGATGATGATGGTAGTGATGGTGATGATGATGTGGGGTGATGGTGATAATGGTGATGGTGATGATGATGACGATTACTAGGGCCGGCTGGGTGCCTCCTTCACTAGGGCCAGCTGGGTGCCTCCTTCACTAGGGCCGGCTGGGTGCCTCCTTCACTAGGGCCGCTGGGTGCCTCCTTCACTAGGGCCAGCTGGGTGCCTCCTTCACTAGGGCCAGCTGGGTGCCTCCTTCACTAGGGCCAGCTGGGTGCCTCCTTCACTAGGGCGCTAGGTGCCTGCCTCCTTCACTAGGGCAGCTGGGTGCCTCCTTCACTAGGGCCGGCTGGGTGCCTCCTTCACTAGGGCCCTGGGTGCCTCCTTCACTAAGGCCAGCTGGGTGCCTCCTTCACTAGGGCCGGCTGGGTGCCTCCTTCACTAGGGCCCTGGTGCCTCCTTCACTAGGCCCGGTGCCTCCTTCACTAGGGGCCAGCTGGGTGCCTCCTTCACTAGAGGCAACTGGGGCCTCCTTCACTAGGGCCGGCTGGGTGCCTCCTTCACTACAGGCCAGCTGGTGCCTCCTTCACTAGGTCAGCTGGGTGCCTCCTTCACTAGGGCCTGCGGGCCTCCTTCCTAAGGGCCAGCTGGGTGCCTCCTTCTAGGGTCAGCTGGGTGCCTTCCTCCTTCACTAGGGCCAGCTGGGTGCCTCCTTCACTAGGGCAGCTGGGTGCCTCCTTCACTAGGGCAGCTGGGTGCCTCCTTCACTAGGGACCCGTGGGTGCCTCCTTCACTAGGGTCGGCTGGGTGCCTCCTTCACTAGGGTCGGCTGGGTGCCTCCTTCACTAGGTCGGCTCAGGGGCCTCCCTTCACTAAGGCCGGCTGGGTGCCTCCTTCACTAGGGCCAGCTGGGTGCCTCCTTCACTAGGCCGGCTGGGTGCCTCCTTCACTAGGGGCCAGCTGGGTGCCTCCCTTCACTAGGGCCGGCTGGGTGCCTCCCTTCACTAGGGCCGGCTGGGCCTCCCTTCACTAGGGGCCAGCTGGGTGCCTCCTTCACCAGGGGCCAGCTGGGTGCCCCTCCTTCACCAGGGGCCAGCTGGGTGCCTCCTTCACTAGGGCCAGCTGGGTGCCTCCTTCACTAGGGCCGGCCTGCTTGCCTCCTTCACTAGGAGCCAGCTGGGTGCCTCCTTCACTAGGGCCAGCTGGGTGCCTCCTTCACTAGGGTCGCTGGGTGCCTCCTTCACTAGGGCCAGCTGGGTGCCTCCTTCACTAGGGCCGCTGGTGCTCCTTCACTCAGGGCCGCTGGGTGCCTCCTTCTAGGGGCCAGCTGGTGCCTCCTTCACCTAGGGCCCAGCTGGGTGCCTCCTTCACTAGGGCCAGCTGGGTGCCTCCTTACTAGGGGCGCTGGGTGCCTCCTTCACTAGGGCAGCTGGGTGCCTCCTTCCCTGGGTCGCTGGGTGCCTCCTTCACTAGGGCCCAGCTGGGTGCCTCCTTCACTAAGGGCCGCTGGGTGCCTCCTTCACTAGGGCCAGCTGGGTGCCTCCTTTAAGGCCAGCTCGGTGCCTCCCTCACCAGGGCCGCTGGGTGCCTCCCTTCACTAGGGCCGCTGGGTGCCTCCTTCACTAGGGCCGTGGGTGCCTCCTTCACTAGGGTCCTGGGTGCCTCCTTCACTAAGGCGCTGGGTGCCTCCTTCACTAGGGCCAGCTGGGTGCCTCCCTTCACTAGGGGCCGGCTGGGTGCCTCCTTCTGGGGCCACTGGGTGCCTCCTTCACTAAGGCCAGCTGGTGCCTCCTTCACCTAGGGGCCGGCTGGGTGCCTCCTTCACTAGGGCC